GGAGAGGGGCAGGAGCTAGCCCTTTTTTTTAATGTTTACTTATTCTTCATATTGAAGCAAGTACTATTGTTACCATTTGCAAATGAGGAAGCCAAAGCATCGTGACATTTGGAAACTCAGTTTGTAAATTATCAAGATGGGATTTAAGCTAGGCCTTCTGCTCCAGAGACCACACACCAAGCCAAAACGATACACAGTCTAGGATTTATCCGTGGATACTGTTCAATAGGTTGAGAAAAAAAAAGAGGTACAAAGGTCAAGACAAGTTGCCTGTTTATCTGCAGGTGGTTTTGGTATAAAGTGGTCTCTGGCCCTCAGCTGCTGAGCTAACATGTTAATCAAGAATTACCTAATATCATGTTTAATGACTTCGTCCTCAGAGTAGCTCATGCTCATTTCATCAGACTAATGAAAACAGGGAAGCCTTCACATTAGAACAATTTTTGAGCAGCAGTTCTGGGAACCAAAGTTCTGACAAAAATTAGCAGCCTAGTACAAAACCTTGCCACCACTAAGGCTCTTTGCAAGTAAACCCCAAAGAAACACTGGTGGCACTGTCAAGTAAGCATTGGACTGCTAACTGCAAAGTCTTGGTTTCAAACCCACCAGCTGCTCCACAGGAGAAATTTGATGAGACCATAAAGATTTACAATGTTGGAAACTCTATAAAGGGTCACTTTGATTCAGAATCAACTTGATGGTACTGAGTTAGTCACACTCTAAGACTGCAACAGCAGTTCTTTCAAGTGCACAATAAAGAGATGGGGTTAAGTCATCCCTCTTCTGAAGAAATTGACAATCCGGGGATTAAACTTGTGGTCATTAGATTTATATTTGGTTAATTAAATAATTAGTTTTATTGGCATATATGTCATATATCATAATTTAATCATTCAATCATAGTAAGAGGAATTGTGAAATCATTATGACAATGATTTTCAGAACATTTTTTTCTCATACTCATTGTTGTTACCTCCACGTTTCCATCCAACATTCCCTGCCATTCCCATTCTTATCTCTAGAGATCTACCTATCCTAGATTTCATATACAGAAAATCATAAAAAAACAAACAGGAAGCAAACAACCAAAGAAAACAAAAACAAAAAAACCCCACAACAATGACTAGACAAAACATGGGAAAACTTCAATCAAAAAGCAAGCAGAAAATATTAAAAACAGAAACAACTTTAAAATGGGTCAAAAGGGAGATAAATGATAAGGTGTTACATTTTAACCTAACCACATCTGCCATACTTGACTGTAAAATGCTCTCTGTTTGATAGAAGGCTAGTCATATATCCTTGGACTATGGCCAAAGGCTTAATCCATGTGAGGATCCTACAAACGGATATTAGGCTTCCACTGTCATCTTCTGCAAATTGGGTGTTCACAATTTAAGCTCTGATACCATTTCCTCCTTCAGATTTGGATTTTATTATTTATAATCCTTAAATCACACAGGTTAGTGTGTTTCTTCTGTGTAGACTTAGTAGACACCTCACTTAGATGGCTGCTTGATTGAAGACAAGCTTTTAAGACCCCAGACACTATTCTTGCTGATAACCAAGCACCATCTGGTTTCTTTACTACCCTTTGCTATAGCACCCAGATCTTTAGTAATCACTTCATAAGTGCAAGTATCAAGTAGAGCCATGTCATAGAACTTAGATTGGGACTAGAATTAAGTGGGATTTTAAACTCCATCCATCTATGTATGGTTTATACATGTCTCTTGGTTCACTTTTGAAACATCATTATCATTGTATAATAGAAAGCATTATCAATCATTCCCTTGGGGCACAATAAGGTGATCCTATTGATAGTATCCTTAATTTAGCCCATGGTATAGAGTTTAAAGCACTGTTGAAAAAGGAAATTATACATGCAGGCTTTTCAGACTGCAATACATGAATTGCTGACTTGTATAGATTAATTTCTGAAGTGAGTGTACATTATTTATGCAAATAATGGGGTTGGTGATAGGGCAAAACTTTCAAAGCACTCTTTCACCAAGTCAGAACTATACCTACCAGACTAATATATGTCAGAAGAAAGCAAGGAGGGCATTAAAACAGTGAATATATGGTAGTCCCATTTACTGGGCACCCTCAAAGGAAGAGATCTGAACCAAAGTCCAACGAATACCAATTCCATAATCTTGGTGTAGAAGTCATCTTCTTCTCACACGAAAACATCCAAGGGAGTAAGTCGGTTCCTTAAATGTGCTACAGGTGAGTTCGAGGTAAAGCCCCGTTTGATTAGTGGGGCTGGCACACGGAATCTTTCTGGTGCAGTATGAAAGCTGTTGTGCACTTCAAAAGTACAGAGTCTAAATTCCCAGTAGTCTATAACACATGGCACATAACACATCAAGGTCTAGACAAGCTAGGTCAAAAGCGTCCAGTTAAGAACAGACTACCAGGTGTATTCTCCCCTTGAGTTCTATACAAGTATTATTCAGCGTTTTTCCCCTCATGCGAGGTTGTTCCACCAGTTTGCCCACCAACAGAAATGTAATAGCTTATCAGACACGCCCCCTTTCACTCTATTGACTTAAAATCTCAGTAAGTTTCACTTAACATTGAAAGGGGTAATTATTAGGAAATCAACATTATGAAATGTTATTACAATTATAATTTTCAAAAAGCAAACTTCAAATAAAAATCTGTAGAGTTGTTTTTAATATTGGGGAAAATCTTATATTCTAATAGTATTGTATTTCAGATACTTTTATGGCTGTTTTATAAAAGTTCATACTGTAATCTTTATCACCTAAATTGGAACCATTGCCTAATAATTAAGCCCTAATGAGTTTTCACTAAACAACAGCCAAAGGAGAAAGATGTGATTTCTACTTCCATAAAGATTTACAGTCTTGGAAACCCAGAGTCAGTTCTACTCTAATCCTATAAAGTCCCTAGGAGTCAGAGTTGATGGCAGGAATCATGAGTGCAATCAACAATCACAAAAGAAGCAAGTGCTAAATATTGAATTACTGAAAGCTACTCTGAATATTAAAGAAATTCAGTACTGTGTAATCTAGTACCCTTGTTTTACACTGTATGTTAAAATGTTGTATTTTAATGCTTCTAATTCATAATTGTCCAACTTTAGAAAAAAAAATTCATTCCCAAATAAAACTCATCACACATTGTTTCCAATGATTCAGCTGCGGGCTTATACCACAATAAATTGCTCACCTAGAGTTAGTAATTTTCTTAATGGGATGATCATCTAATGCTTTATAGAGTCAAGTGAATTACAGATTTTAACTGAGAATATCCTAATTTAAGTGGCTTTTATGTCAACAGAGTATTCAGCTATCAATCAAGAAATATTTATTTGACTAATTACTGTTTAGTTAGTTAAAAATAAATTTAGACATGCTCTCTCCTCTTAACACGTAATTTAGTTAGCTTCCTGTGCACAGCAGACCGTAAAACTGTTGGTACACAAAATAGTAATTATATTAGAGCTACATAGAATGGTATGGTATAAATTGTTATACAATCTTCTAAGTCACTATTTCCGTGCTTACTTTTGGTCAAACACATGTTGTGTACTTTTTTATTATTCAAACAAGCTCCTGGGGGAGTGGCATGTCAGAAGACTCAAAAATGTCTGTCCTTGTGACAAGTGGGTGGGACAAGGAAAACATGTCAACAGCATAATAGAGTAAGACGTGATGGGAAAACATGCTCAGAGTAGGATTGCCCGCCTGGGGTGCAGCTTCCTTCGCCAAGGTTGGCCTTGTCCAGAGGGAAGCCGTCCTTTGAACCCTCGTGTCCTTCAAGGCCTGGTGGCGCAGTGGTTGCGCACGGGGCTGTTTGAAACCGAGCAGCTCCGCCCGAGGAAGACCGGCTTTTCTTCTATTCTGTGCACAGTTCCAGTCGGAAACCCACAGCGGGGCGCTGGCAGTCAGCACTGAGTCTGGTCTCTCCGTGGTCAAGGCCTTGCTGTCCGTTGGCGACTCTTCTCTTCCATTCCCTGGGAACTTTCTGGACATAATGCCTACCGTTAAGGAGTTGGCTGGTGTTGAGGCCGACGCCCGAGCCTCTGGTCCAAGCGAGCAGCCCCTCACAACAGGCCCGTGGCTTCCGGTAATGACCACTTCCGGTTCGTGGTAACATGTCCACGAACCTGTTTCTTCATCTAGAAAGCCAAGCTGAGATGAAAAGTGTTCATGTCATCAAAATCTTCATATAGTGCCAGGTAGAGCGGCAATTCTTCTATCGAGCACAGAAGAGCAAAACGGGAGAAAAATGGGGACCAATTTCCCACCTGTGCCTCCACTGCGAACTTCCCGTCTCGAGCAATGCAAGACAGGCGCACCTTTCCGGCGAAGGCGACAGGAGGCGTCAGGGAAATGCGGACTCACGGGG